TTATTATTTTTAACATATTAGCATAGAAATTATTCTACTGCATGAGATTTTATTAATTTCCACTAAATACACTGTACACTGATTTTACCCTAGCCAAGTCAATACCGTTTAACATTACTGTTATTCATGGAAGTTGTTGCTGTAAAACGAACCAAGCCAGAGCAAGTGAAGTAGAATATGTAAATTAAATTTATTGTAATAAATTGTAATTATAATTAGCAAAACAAAAGTGTAAACAATATAAAATATATAATTTAATAATTATATTTAAATATATTTAATATATTAACTTTTTTCTTAATAAAACAAAAACTATTTATATTACACATTATTTATATGTTCACGTGTCTACTATTCTTACCGTTTGTTAGAAAGCCGAAAATACACTGATCAACTGAATTAAAAGCTGTTAGGATTAACAAAAAACTGATAAGGCGGAATGATTTGATATTGGAACGGCATTTTGTTTTAATTTACAAGCAACAATAACTTTACACCTTTGTTAAAACGATTATTAATGAATATATGGAATTTGTTCTGTTACAACATTACTGACAAAAACATATGTTTTTATTATTGAATATTTAACAGAAACTCTGTTAATTCTGCATACATACCTATATGAAAGTATAAACATGTTATGTTGATTTTATGTTAAGTTGTTGATATAATACCTGATATAATTATAAAACAAATATTTTAAGCACACTAATCAGCATTTATGCATGAAGTGTTAAAAGATTATGTTAAAGTTATTCACTTGTATTGAAATTAAGTAGAAATAAATTAAAGTAAATGAAACTGTTTTCTTTTATTTTCAGATACCTATTGTACTTCTTTCATGGGTTCGAAAGAATATTGCAACACATTTACTGTGATTTATATTTAATTTCAATTTTATACATATCTTTCTATATCAGTTCGGTCACTTTAAAGTATATTAAATTGATTGATTTGTATAATATACTTTTCCTCACATTTGTTCATCATAGCTGCATTTATCTTCATTTTCAATATTTTCTCTATATTCGAAGGCAAACTTATTGTTCCGTAGCTGTATTGGATGTTTATTTTCTTCATTTGACAGGCTTTCAAAATAATCCAACATCTTAGAAATTAGTAATTATGTAGCAAATTTTTCAGAATAATATAACTTTTTTGAATAAAGTTACATATTAAATAACAAGCATATCAACAGCTGTGTCAAGAACCTTCATAATTTTTCAAGTACAAATATTAAAGATTACAATGAAATACAAACTTACTTGAAATACTTGACTTTGAAAAACCCTAAAGTAAAAACTCCAACACCATTATAGCGAACTATCTGAGAGGCCAATATTGACCATCACATAAAGAAGTTCATTCTTAAAGATGACCAATAACAAGTATAGACTCATGCAGTGATTGAATTCTTTTCTAACTTTTTTAAATTTTGGCATCGTCTTGTTAAAATTATATGAAATCCATACCTTTATCTTGCAATTTTGGCCAAAAAAAAAATTCAATACTAAGTAATGACAATAACGATCACTTTAATTAACTATTAACCTGTTCAGCTGCAAAAATGGTTCTATAATAACTCATATTCAGCACACACAGCCGAGAGACTCCTTCAGACTGCTTGTGGACGTCTATTGCTTTAAATAAAATCACCACTTCATAACTAATATCTAATATAATAACTAATATAAATAATATTTTTACAATTTCACAAACATATAATTATAATTTTTTTAGTGTAAAACAAAATTAATGCCAACAATATTTTTTTAATTAATTATTTTAAAGATATGAAGTATATATTATTGACTCCTAACTTTAGCTTATTTGTAGCTTATTCCAGTCTTATACAATAGTTTGTTTAAGCCAACACCGCTAAACTATTCAATAAAACAACACTTAATCACTTAATATGATATTTGAATCTATGTTTCTGGATTCGAGCTAATTTCTTCACTTAAAGAAAATAGGTAAGTATTTACTAAAATAATGGACGTAGAAACAACAATATATAGCAATCGGAAAAAATTTCAAAATTTTCAAAATACCGAAAATTGGGACGAAATGGGTTGGTCTAATCAATAGCAATTATATATCGTTGTAAATAAAGTTAATACTCGTAGATTGAAAATAAAAATCAAGTCTTTTTAATAAAAATTTAAGTTTTTAATAGACCCTACTGTAAAATCACATAAAACCATGTTAACCTCATGAATCCTTATTATAAAAATTACTAAGTCAACACTTTTATGAAGAAAAGAACCATCACTTCATATAATCCCTTTGGTTAAGAAGGTTATTTCCGTCTAATTGTTTATATTATTTATTTAAATTAAATAATTCAGTTTTACTATAACCTTCTTTAAATTATAATACCTTAACTTCATTATTTTCATTTAAGATACTATTAAATAAAATATATAAAATTTAACAAAAATCTTTGAAAAGAGTTTTTAAATATTTTAAATACATTTATTCTCATGGAATAAAGTTTTAAACCGCAAGACTTTTTGTTATCATATGTAATTACATTAAGTATGTGATTATCATTATGTGTATTTAAAAAAAAACCAATATGAGTAAAAGTTAAAGAAAAATACAGAAAATACTTGGTAAGTAAAATGTCAAAGTACCTCTCAGCCAAGTCGCCAAGGAAACTAATTTGCTATAAAGAAAGTTATTTCTTTTATGACTGAAATGAAGTGAGCTCCGCTTCTAGTTAAACTGTTAAGGATTATTGTACAAACTTTTCTTACCTACACTTACACAAATGAATTCAACAAACTCTTCATGATTTGCGGCTTAAGAGAACGATGTCTGTTTGTTTGAAATAGTGTTATACCAAATTTTCATATCCAGAACAATTTATAAAGGAAATAATTTAATGAAACCAAATTTGGAATAAATATTGAATGCACTAAACTGAATGAATATCCTTCCGAGGAAGATTAAAAAAATTTCATGGACACAGGCTCCGTTTAATTGTGAACCAATAACCTAATTATTTTAATTTAACTCTATTTACAACTCTTCTACACAGATGTCACTTTTACAGCTGCCGAAATACAATTACTAATAATTGCATCTCTAGTGACCGACGTTCAATCCTGTAAAATATATTTTCTATTGAAGATAAACTTTTCAATCAAAATGCAATATAATAGACCCAGTTCTTTATAAACATGTTGTAAAAAGACAACAAAAAAACAAATTCAACTATGAATAGCAATACTTAAAATACTGTCAAATAGTTTCTTGGAAAATATTTTCATGCTAAAATTATAACCCCTTTAACGATTTTTTGGGAAAAACCGTAAGTTGGCTTTAATTGAAAATCCACAGTTTAAAATTTTTAATAAACTTGATAATATATAAGCAAACATAATTCGTTAACTCAAAATATTACTAAAGCAGAGTAAATCTATCTAAAACATTCCATTAAAATAAAAACTTCTAATGTTCATTCTCATTCTACGCTCTGTTAAAATTAGTATACAAAGCTCATAGGAATTAAAGTAGATAAGAATTATAAAATTTTTATGTTTTCGATCGCTTGATAAGTTGGTGATATATGGTTACAATTAAATTTGCACCAAGTTTTCCTATATGGTTCCCTTCAAGCTTTATACACTTATAATGCAATTGTAATTTCTTTATAATCTTTGAAAATTAATATTAGTTGAGGGTTTTTAAAGAGCTGTTCGTTACGTAGCATTTGAACTGGATCGAAATTACTCTTCACTAAGCCATTATATTTAAATTGGAATTTGCATAAAATCAGTTGGAAAGCAAACACATCAATTATGTGAGCACCTACCTCATAACATAACTCGATCAAATTTGCTGTTCTAATTGCCGACTTATAACGCAATTGCATTGTTTTTGTTAACACTTAGATGTGGGTTTTTATATACTGTAATAGTATTTACTTTAATACTTAAAGGTTACAATATACAATAAAACAACGGACCCCACTAAGCAGGAAATATTATCCGTTGTATAGTATAGTATAGAGTTTAGCATAGAGTGTGTGCCGTTTCGTTGAACTATTAAATATAAGTCTTCAATTCTTAAAATTCCAATTGAAGATGCATTCAATTGGGTAAATTAATTGGTACATTTCGAGTATACCTAGCGGTAGTACGTAAAGAACGTGAGCTTACAATATGTATAACAAAATACTCTTTATTAATATAAAATATTGTTTCTCTAGGTTTTTTTTTTATGCAAAATCCTAAACTGCTATCTATAATTATATTTTTGGGTAGTTTTCATATATACGACTATATTTTTCAATAAGTTAATTTTAATAATATTGGAAACCTCTTTATTAAGTTTTTTCATAAAAAAAATACTAATAAAATATTATAATAAAAATAAAAAAATTTAATAAAAATAAAAAAATTCATTAATTAAATAATAATAATGAAATATAATAATAATAAAAAAATTTAATAAATGAAACAAATTATATTGAAAATATCATAACTTTCAATCTACAGATATTAGGTGCATCTTAACAATGGATGATCGTAACAAATTTCTATTCCATAAGATTTATACTCAGTAACTCAACTCAACTTATATGTATATATCTTTTAACAATAAAAACAATAATAGCGGAAACAGTTATCGCTAAAAAGAAAAATATGTTATTATTAGTGCACTTTTAGCACCTCCTAAACCACTTCAACAATATCTTTAAACAATTCTAAAAGAAGGATAAAAATGTAGTTCCTATATATTTTTTAATGGGAGGTAATTTCGAAATTTTTGGTAACAGATTTAATCCAATGTACGAGAACTATACACGAACATATTAAATTTGATATCATATATAAAAAAACATATATATTACTCAAAACGTTTACCGGATTTACAAACTGAATTTAAATACCAATTGGTATACCTTGATCAAGTAGTCATCGATAATATGAAAATAATTCTTACCTGAAAATAAAAAGAGAATAATTTCATTTATTTTAGAAAAGCTTTGAAATACGTTTCAAAAATTATTAGTAGTAGTTTTTATACTTTAATAATAAATTTCAAAAAAAAAATTCTTGGTCACCTAAATTACAAGTGAAAGTCACCATGCCTTTGAGCGAAGAAGCCAAGGAGCGTCTAATACTTGTTTTAGCTGCTTTACGTACTACAATCCATTTTGGGTATATGCCGCTTATCTTCTATTTGGGTCATCGTGCTGGTTCATCTCCTGGTTATCCACCCTTCTCGTTTTGGAACGTCTTGCCTAATCCCTTCGATTATTATTGACTTGATTGAAGTTGGAGTTTGAAGAACTGGTTGATGCGATGTTAGGTGTCCATGGTCTGCTGTCTGAACTCAGTGTGGAAAAAACGGTACCAAGTATGAAAAACCAATGAAGGAATTTTGTGATTAAAAATTCTTAGTGAAAATTAACATTTAATAAACTATTAAAGATTTTGCGCTACTACTAAAAAAATCTTAATTTTAAAATTTTAAAAAATGCAATTTTAAAAAAATACGACTATAGATTTAATAAGATTGAAATATCAACTATATTTTTTAAGGAAAATCTGTTGTAATTTACAAAACTTCAGTTGTATGCTTTGAAGTTAAAACCACAGATTCTACATATTCTACGGATTAATTAATTACTAAATATTTATGCCATAAAATGATTAGGAATTAATACCAATTTGTTAGTTTAATATAATTGAATTTTTTATTTAAATAGTTATTAAAAGATGTGTTTAAATAGTTCTCCATGCCATTTATTATTTTTATCGGTTCTGTTCTATTAACATTATTAATCATTATTTATATGGTAGATCATGACAAAAAAGTTTTGGAATTCATATAGATTAGGGGTGTGTTATAATATTTACTTCACCTTTACAACCACTTCAGGTGAACCATTTGATTTCAATGACAATCTTCTTAAGTTCCGTTAAGTTCTCCAGAACATCTATGAAATCTATGAAAGAAATTAACTTTTTGTCTGGAGATTTCCCTTCTTCGCTTCAACTACCTGTTCAGTCAAAGAACAAGCATTGTTCTGCAAGAGAACATGTGAATATTTCCCATTCATTATTAGATGTAGATGCTGAAGATGCTGAAGAAAACAATTACTTACTAGAATAAAAGTAAATATAATAAAGCAAGGCTTTCCAGACTAGAGTAGATCGTGGACAAATACAAACCAAATACTTAATAAGTTCGAGGGCCACAGAAAAAATTATGTAGTGGGATATATTACTTAAAATATTTTTATTCATTAATTTGGGATACAATAAATGGTAAATAATGTGATTTTACCAAAATATAATAAAAATGCATTTGTTGTATTGCGATAGATTAGAAGCATGTCGCGGGCCGCACAAATATTAGCCGCTAGCCGCATGAGGCCCGTATGCCGTGCGCTTGACAGCCCTGTAAGAAAGCGTACTTAATTACTGAAAACATAATCTTCAAACACTGGGTTCTTACCCGTTTTCGATGTGGTTCACCGATTTTCCAGACAACTACAGTTTTGTATAATTTTACCGTATAACATTTTATATATATCCAAACAGTGCTAAAAGTCAGCAATAATTCGTTGTTTTCGATAGACTGCTTTTAGGAACGCCAGAACTTTCTACAAAAACTCACTATATGCTTATACGAAATACTAATTACATAGCATTGTGAAATGTTTAAGATGTCAGTTATCTAACTAAACCTCACTTTAAGATTCGTCGAAATGATATAATCAAATTTTCTGATATCTTTTAAAGTAAGCAACTTATTCAAGTGTCCATAGCATTCCCTATCATTGATGCAATACATAGTATACATAGCATACAATAAGAATTATTAATTAGAAGAGGAAAAGTTTATTCCTCCAACTCTTCATGTATTTCAAATTTCAGTCAACAAATAATACTCACTTAAATCAAAGA